GGAGCGGCAGCAGAAGATACAGCTGGCCGCCTTCTCAGTCAGAGCAGGAACTGGAAAATATTCGTTAATTTTGTATCACAGGCTTTAGAAATCTGCAAGAATGGCCCATTTAAAAAAAAGTATTATAAAACATCCCTATTTACCTATTCTTTTGTTTGTCCGGCCATGAACTTTAAAAGATATGTGAGAAGGGATATTGCTAAACATAAGCAATATTAAGGTTGTGCCCTGTAACAGTCGTTGGCGGACAGCTTTTTGTTTCAGTGGAGCACAGCTTTCATGGCAGAGAACAGTAGCGGAGGGAGAAGTGATTTTTCAGGTGGCAGGGGTCAGTCTTGTGAATGGGAAGTGGTCCCTGTCCTAATGAAGAATATTCCTTAGACTGCGAAGAATCATGAGGAGGCATTCACAGTGGCTTGAGTTTCGAAGCGGATAAGCCGCTGCATTTTGTCTTCTGCCTTTTCAGTGCATATGGTGGCACCCTGATTTATAATAAATCACAGCAATGAAACCCTGCAGTTGCCAGTGCGCTGTCAGTGTTTGATTAGACAGCCTGAGTGCTGGCTTCTGGCCACTCACCAATGGAAGCACATTTTTTCCAAAGCCCTGACTATGATCTTCCAAACTAACTGAGTCCAAAAGGACCCTGGAGTTTGAAATGACTGCACAAACAGCAAGCAGGTGTCATCAACAGATGGGGGTTCAAATGCAGGAATCCAAATCTCACAGCATGCCCCTTTTCCTAGCAGCATTACCTCTCTCTCCTTGAGGATTAGCCTCATTGAAACGGGTGTGGAGAGAGGTAGGAGATGTTCAAGCAAGAAAGCAGCGTGTGGTTCCCACATTCCTGTTTTTTCAATCTGATTGTCAAACCAGCTTCCTTTGCAGGTCCACATGAATTCCGAAGGTGTGGAACATCGTGGAAGACTTGCAAAGAAAACTGGGGACAGAGTCTTTATTAGTTTGTTATCTAAACTGATAAAGGGTGCAGAAAATGGATGGATATACTATGTAACCAAAGCACGAGGATGGTTATGCTTTCAGTATTGGCATGTTTATAATTATTTTGATTATTGCAAAGGAACTGCAATTATAAATGATAAAAATCATGGATTTGGTACAAGAAGTTGGAAGACTTAGCACTGTTAAATGGCTAATACTTTGCTGTCTTTTTAATGATTCAATTCTATCTTGAAATGAAGAACTAAGTCTTCACAGACTCATTAAAAAATCATGGGGGTGCTGAATGACAAGGATGAGGGTTTTTTTTTCACAAACTAAATGTTGTATGCTTCAGCCTAGTGCACTCTATCCAGTTTGAGATCATTTGCAAACTAAACACAGAAGGAATTGGTGGTTTTTTTAAAGGGTTTTTATGTTGTGCATTTCACCACAGTGGAGATGCCTGCAGTTCTGGAGATGCAGCTGGTTACAAGAGCAATAGCCAAAAAACAGGAACAGTGAGTTTTGGATAGATTAGACTTACAGCAAAATGGATATTTGTATGTTTAATTAGAACTGCTCTACGAAAAGTTTTACTGAAGTACAGTTAAACCATCATGTTATTTGAAATAATCTTTCTCTATATAGTCTCACTATATGTTTATACCTCCCATTCTTACTTCACCTGGTAGTTAAATATTTTTATTGTCTCAGTGTCAGCTCAAACAATGTTATCTATGCCGAGAGTGGAAATTGTGGCTGAGTGCCCAGGTTTTGAATACTAGGGGAGTTAGTGGGCACAGCCTTCTTTGTCTGAGGCCCACAGTTGAGAGACCTTCATGCTGCTGAGCCAGCGTCTTTTCAATTCACTGGAGAGTTTATTGGCATGATGAGTATTTAAATACTATGGAAGGAGTAAGAAAAAAGAACACAATCCCTGTTCAGCAAGAAGGGGTGATAACTAGGCTAACCTGTAGCAGTTCTCAAATAAGCGTGTTGTTATGAATTGGCTTGACACTGGAATTGCTGGAAGTTGGCCAGCAGAACATGAGCAACAGAATTATGTGGACCAAAGTGAAGAAAAAGAAGAGACTGGATGTCTTATTTTTTACAGAGCACTCAGATACGGTAATGAGGGCAATGAACTGTATGTAATGACAGCTGATGAAAAATGTGCTGTCACCTCCACAGCAGAGCCAACTATCTGTAGCCTTATTTAGAAGGTTACAACGGCGAAATGAATGCTATGGAAAATACATGTGTGAGATATGTATAGCATCAAATATTCACTTGCTTTGAAAAGAAATGGATGTACTCTTTAGGATTTAAATATTTAGTCAAGCGTGCTTGTTTCTTTCATCTACCCCAACTTTCTAAAGAAAGGGACAAGCATTTCTGTGGAGAAGTACATGCTGTTAAAAAATAATGTTATGCAACTTTTAAAAAGTACTTAATACCTTTAGCACAAGTGACAGGATAATTGTGTGATTTTTTTTATTGTTTAAAATAAATTCTGTTGCATTGAGAGTAAGGATTTGAACTGCTTCCCTTCTGTCATTAATTTGAAGAATGAAGAAGACGGATTTGAATACTCTTTGCCTGAATTTAGGAGACTCTATTCTTGGGAGCAAGAGCTGGGGAAGAAACACCCCTATGAATTGGTATGTTTAAGTATTCAGTAATGAAGCAAATTAGCTCTTTGCCTGTGTGATCTTTTTGTACACTCCTTTTGTTCACATTCTCTAGGTTGCACTGCTTGCAGATGAGTATTGTAGCTATTGTCAAGATATTTTACAGAATGTGAGAAAGGAAGAGCTTGACAAGGTATGCCTTGCCTATGCTTGAGTAACATTCATTTCAATGACAGCAAACAACTGTAAGGATAAAATTGTTTCTATGTAGCTTAGTTACCTGAGGGTCTTATCTAAGGTAGATGGTCATTTGTAGACAAAAGGAACATTCAGTCAAATCATTCTGGAATTCTTAATTAACATAACGTGCTCTGAGGACTTGATTTTGTAGGCATATCCAAAGCATTCCTAACACGCCAACAGGTCTGAGCTCAGCACAAAACACAATGGCCTTTACATCAGCATATCTGTGACCAGTCCTACATTTCTTTGCTTCTCTCTTCTTTCTTATTCTCCCTTGCAAGCTTCAAGCTTGGATTCAGCTTGTTGCCCCCAGAGGCTTCTACTTATGCTTGAGCGTGGCCAGGATAGGGCCAGGCAGAGAGCCAAGCTCCCAAATAATTCTTTTTCTTCTGTGCTAATTTGTGTTGGGTTACTGAATTGCACTTCACATTTCACAAATGCAAAATCAGTGTAAATTAATAAAGGACTTTTTATGCAATAGGTGGAAGACCGTATCATATCATTCTGGAAGTCTTTGCAGCCTGAAACAACAACACTTATGTCATTGCCAGATGTGTGCCAGCTGTTCAAATACTATGATAGGCAGCTATTCAAGGTATTGTAGACACATTTGTTTGTTGTAATTATTTTATTATGTGTTTGTATCTTTCCAGTGGTTCTACCTGAGGAGAAAGATCAGTTGCTTACTATGTGCTGTACAATGGAATTTTTGTTTGAACCTCAAGTGTGTCCTTTGTATTTTATTTTGAGATAGCACAGTTTGGATTTTGACAGAAGCCAGTGGAATTTGAGACAACTTCCATTTTGCTGCCATATATTCCTTTGGAAGTCCCTAACATCAATGGAGTATGCCGTTGTAAATGTTGTCTGTTCTGGCATGAGCATATGTGTGACTGAAGTAGTGACTGATAGCTGTTTTCTAAACTAGGAGGGAGTTATTCTTCCTTTGATAATACTACTGCATAGACTTTCTCAGTGACATTCCACATAGCAATAGGCAGTTTGCTGTTCAAAATAATTTACTTCTTGTTTACAGCTGTTTATCAAGTAATGTCTAATAATTAATTCAGGAAACAGTATTTATAGTTAGGATCTTTTTCCTTCTGCTAATAAAGTGAATGTAGCTTAGCTGTTGGCTTCAGTGGAGGTAAAAATGGGCTTCTAGTGTAATCTATGTTTAAGCCATAGTATAACTTTGTTTTGTGCTGCTGTAAACATCTGTAGTACACCAGTCATATGCAGTTCCATGAATTTGTATTGCAGGAAATGGAGAATATTCTACTTTATGATTTCCTGGAGGATGTGTCTATACAGTACTTGAAGTCAATCAGATTGTTCAGTAAAAATGTTAAACTTTGGCTGCTTAATGCTTTGGAAGAGTTTCCATTGCTTCTCCGAAAGTCCAAATTTAAAGGTATGTTTGAGTAATGGATTTTCAGAAAATAATCTTTGCTTAAACTGCAGAGAAGACTGTGTTGCAAGACTCTTGCATAATTTATTTTTAAAACTTTCTTAGCTGATGTAACTTCATTAGTAGTAAGGACTAGAGTTAATTGGGATACAGTTAAAAATAAATGGTCTCAGATAATGTCTGAGAACAACTTTAAGTCAAATAATTCCCAGTTTATGGTAAATTAAAGTGTGCTTGAATCTTTTTAAAGCTCTGTCTCTTGCCACGATCTCTTTGGCTATGCAGAGGATTATGAATAATATGCAGTGAAGGCCTCCTCTCTGACAATTGGGTATTGTTCCATCTCTTCACCTTCCAAGTGGTTTTATGAAGAAATATTAATTAATAGCTATAGGACAGTTCAATATTAAAGTAAAAAAAAAAAGTCATAGGCCCTTAAGGAAACTATGACTCTGTCCTTAGAATAGGATTTGAATAGTGTGTGATGTATAAAGGTGTGTGTATATGTGTGTGTTTGTAAATATATATGTAAATTCATATATATGTATATATATTTATATATGATGCTGAAGCATTTGGCTAAAACAAAATGTTGCTCAGTTGCTTCTTGAGTGAAAACCATCTCAGTGACAAAGCAGAGCTTCTGTGTAGACAAAGTATCGTATTATCGTTATTTTGCAAGGAAGATTTGCACGGTCGGTCTTAATTCTGGTATTTCTTACCTTTTGAATGTTTGACAGTGCAAACTTAGAAGTGTATTTTTAACAATTTGTGCACATGCAGGTATATGTAATTAATCAGATACAACCCTTTCTATACACATCCTGGGCTTTCTGGTATGTACAAACCTTGGCGAGGCGGAAATTTTCACCTGAAAACCTTTTCACTTGAAAACGGTTGCCTGTCTGCAGAAGTTTTAAAATTGCTTTATACTTGATCTTTCTTCCACTAAGAATCAATTATTTTATATTTTATTCTTAAAAAGGATATTCTTGGACCATACTTTTCATAGTTCTAACACTGTGAACGGGAGCAAATAGAACCAAAGAAATCAACTTTTAATCAATGGTGCTGCAGAATTATGGATGCACAAAGGTGAAGATTCAAACTCTTTAATCAAAGTGTGGAAGGTTTACCATTAATGTTGCATTCATTAATCTTAAACCATACGTGTAAAACAGTGTTGCCCTTGAATAAGAAGAATTTCATGTAAAAATTGTTTGAAGTATTTTTCGCTTGTGTCATTTGTTAACAGATTTGCAGTGTAGGAAAAGTGGTAACCTGGGCAGCTACAGCTTGCAAGCTTTAAACCGATACGGTCCCTAGTGCCTAATGCTGGCTCAGTTCCCTCACTGTGCCCTGGTTTAGCCTGTTACATTGCTCCCTCAGGGATCCACTTTCTAACTTAAAAGATCTATCTTCATTACTGTCTTTGCGAATGTAAAATATCAATGATATGAAACATCTGCCTCTTCTTCTTTAACAGAAGTTACAGTGTTTGTAAAAAGACTCAGAAGAAAGACATATCTTTCTAATATGGCCAAGGTAAGTTCCAGGATCCGTGAAGAGAAAAACTGTGCATCTCATTCACTCAAGAAGCCCAGCCTCAGTTTCTTTTATTTATCAGCTGCTTCACTGTTGTGCAACAGCAAAACAAATGTTCTTATTTGTATACTAACCATCGTCCAAATCATACTCGCCCTCCTACGCATCTCTTCCCACACAGAAGCGGCCTTTTCTCTCCCTTTGGCTTCTGTGAAAACCTCTGAGATGATGGAGTCAGTGGTCCTCCCTGAAACACAGAATAGCCACAGTAGTCGGAAGGTTCAGATGAGGGTTTAATATATCTTTGCCCAGCCATAGAAAGTAAGTCAGATAACACATGCTGGAGTTACCCTAAAGTTGATCTTATGTAGCATGCTAACCGCTGTCTCTGAAGAGCACTGTAGCAGCCTTTACCAAGGAAACCACTAATACCCTAGTTTCACTGAAGCCATGCTCTTGAGGAACTGGACATAAGATCCTTAAGGGCTCAAGCTGTTGCAGAGACCCTGATCTTTTCCATGGGGTCAGTTGACAGACTCTTCTCCACTCTCTGCCCAGACCGTGTTGGAAGGAGCATTGCAGGAGTGTATCCTCTGAACTTTCCTCCTCAGGGTCATTACTCTGACTTTTTTCCTTGGGAAGAATGAGACAAAATGGGAGTTTTTGAACAGTATCTCTTTTTACTTTTTGCTCTGCGGTATCATTCTTCTCAATTATAGCGATAGAGGAGATATATCAGCCCGTTGAACAGTGTCGTATATTGTTTCATAAAACTGCAATTACTCAGTGCTGTTTAAGTATGATGGGCTGTACCCTCACAGTAGGGTTCCTTCCATTGCTAGCCTTAGCTACCTTTGGCTTTTCAGGTGGTCCAGGCCACAACAGAACAGATAGGCAATGGATGGGCAAGAAAGCAGAAGAAAATAGGCACTATATTGGCTCCTCTGCGTCAAAAAACAAGTACAGGATTCTGCCAGGATACTGGCTGAGTTAAATCACTTCACTGTGTCCCAACAATGAAGGGAATGAGAAGGGGAACTGTGGCTCTCTGAACTGCATGCTGGTGTCACATTTTCCCTTACTAAATGTAGCCTTTCTTTATGAGAAAACCTCATCACCAGCAACATACAAAAGACCCACTTCAGTTATTTAAAAAAAAACTAAAAAATTGATGCACAAACATGCATACGAGGGCTAACATAGGCAAAGGGTTTACTTCTGTGAAGTGCTGAGCACGCTCAGTCCCGATTTACTGCAGCAGCCCTTGGAGATACTGAACACTTCATAAGCTCGGCTTCATATGCTTCTGAACAGTGCTTTTTATGCATCAAAGAACTTGATCCAGCAAGACTGCGAGTGCCAGCTACTCCCAGTCAAGTTGAAGTTGATGTGTGTATTTAGACTTTCTTCCTGCGCTTGATCCGTGCTGTCAAGGGGCTGGTTGGAGCTTTTTGATTCTTCCCTGCCCATTCCTAATGCAAGGAAGAAGCCACAGAGTGTCAACTTTAATTTATACCCTTAAGATTTATGCCAAGAGAATTTTAGCCTAGTTGGGGGCAATTCTCTTGTGGCGTCCTCTAGCTGCTTTATGTCCACTTCACACCATTTAACCAGCACAAAGTGAACCTTGTAGATTTGAGAATCTGGGTCATATGTATACTTCCAGCCGAGCGCATTCTGAGCCTGGTTCTTGTTTATGCTAAAGAGCTCTTGGCACTGTTCTCACAAGTAAATGATACTTGCGTGCTCTCCAGGGCCTCTTTAAAATACAAGGGAAGGGCAAATGTGTTCCAGTGTAACTGACTATAAGACCCATTAGCTATTTCAAAGTAATAGTTTGATTATTGTATACAGTATAGTTCTTGTATATGAACATTGTATAGTTCTTGTAAGTGAACGTCCCAATGGTCTTTCAGCAGTTGTGTAGCCTGAATTAGAACTTTTGTTAGAGAATTTGCCAAGGCTATTAAATCTGGGCTCCAGCAAAAAAGAGTAGGTAGTGTATATCAGAAGACGGTTAGTGGAACACCACAGAGTTTTAAAATTTTCAGCTTGTGAGAAACATGTCCCCCACTTCATGGAGACATGGATGTCAGTCAGACAGAAGGTGTTTTAGTCAGACCAGATACTAGGTTTATGGTGACTTGTATCCTCTTTTCCCTGGTGGCCCTCATCAGGTGCTCAGGTGAAGTGGATAAGAACAGAGCAAGTGACATCTCATTCCTCCTACATTGTACTATCCTAGCTTCCAGCAAACTGAGAGGAAGGTTGTATCCACTTCTTTGTACTGAATGGCTTGTTCTTGGCATCCACAGCATCTCGGGGTAGTGAGTTCCAGGGTTTTATGGTTTCTTGTGCGAAAAAATACTTCATTTATTTTAAAATTTCTGTTCTTCTTCATGCTATTTTTCATACAAACCTCTATCATATATTTCCTCAGTTATGTCTGTCCTAAGCTGAAGTTTATTTAATCTTCTCGTATAGGAGTCATTTGATATTTCTAATCATCTTCTGTTTTCTCTGTTGTCAAAAACACATCTTGAATTTCAACTAAGGACTGGTGGTCAAAGCAGGTTGCTGTGCTCCTAATGAGAAGTAGTGCTGAGGAACTGTACAGCTGCAGTTTTTGAATGGTGTAAACACACAGTCCCTTGTAGAGTACTTTGCAATAATTTAGCCACCTGGTGAGAAAATATGGGCAATTTTGGCAGGGTCAGCATTCAAAAGGAAGAAGTAACTTTCCCATCACGGGTAGATAAAGCAGGCTGACATCTGCTACTACCTGGCCATATAGAAATAATTGGGGTATAAAAAGGTGAGAATTCCCTGTGAGAAAGGAACATGAGCGTAATGTTTGTCATTTCTTGTGGCTGCTTCCTGCCTCTGGTAAGCAGTATTTAAATGTTGTCAGGACTGGCTCTCAGCCACTTAACGATGTTATACTTAGTATAGTGAAGCAAAATGGCTCAAGAAAGTAGTATAAAATATTGGCGTATGAAATTGGGCGTCAGCAGCATATTGAAGGATCTGTCCTTAGTAGTTCCTTTCTAATGTGCACGTTATGTGTTCTTGTTGTAAGTAGCAGCTGTTCTTTTGATACTGGACACTCCAAGTAAAATAAGAAAAGAGACTCTGTCTTTAACTGTGTGGAAAGAGATTACTGAGTCAGAATCACAGTGCTTTCAGTAAAACTAGCAGAATAATGAAAACCAAAAATCACCAGATTGGGAGTTATATCTGCGAAAAAATGGACAACTAGATTCACTGCTGTTTGTGAGGCATAGTGAGCAGTGTTCTCTATCATGCATATAATGAATGTGATTTGTGAAGGTGTTAATGAATCCTGAAATTTTTCTGAATTTTACCAGAAATTATTTTTCCTCTAGAAGGCCAAACTGGGCACGCATTATTCGTTATGCACTGAAAAGCGCAAATTCAACAAAATATTTAGGCTCCTACTGGTGCCAGTGTGAAAGTGAGAGATTAAATGTGTAGATGAATGAATTTTCATGTATTCAGGTTTAATTTTCTTCACTATTTTCCCCCTTAAAATGTTTTAGTCAGGAAGCTGAAGCAATACTGTGTGATACTGGCAATTAATTGAAAAAAATAGTGAAGAAATGGGCAGTTCATCAAAAGTTAGGCTGAAGATTTTTGGCAGTATCTGTCTGAGTAATACTTTTTGGGACAAATATGAAACTAGAATCATCCACAAATGACTCATAAACAGGTAAATGAGATAAAATCTCAAGTAATATTATTTTAACTAATGCCATATTTCTAAAGCTTCCAGTGTTATTTTTCTCAAAGGTTTGGGTAACTTGAGGAAAGTTGCCTTTAAAATTAATTGAAATGTATATGAAGGACAGGTGGTACTGAGGGAAAGTTGGTCCTGATACACCTTTCCATAATTTTAGGCAAAATACTGTTATTTGGCATTACTATAATAACTATAGGCAAAAGATTGCTCAGGAAATTGCCTAGATACTTTAAGTATCTGTCAGCCTTGTCTGCTCCATCACACACAGCAATACAAAGTGTCATTGAAAGGAATATCATCCAGAACAAAAAACACTTGAAGACAACTTAAGATTTGTCTCCTTTGATTTTTTTTTTTTTTTCCATTTGGAGACCGTGTATATATTTAAAGTCCCTGTTCTAACTTAGCATTGAATAAGGGAAGCTTTTTGACTGAGTTAAGGATTTAACAAAATGAAAGACATTAACTGTTTTCTTATTATCTGTAGACAATGAGAATAGTCTTGAACAACAACAGCAAAGTCACTGTTCTAAAATCAGACTTGCATGCTGTCATCGATCAGGGATTTGTGGATATTCATGGAAACCCCTTTCAAAAGAAGTTTAGGAATCCGGATGAACTGGAGCATGACATAGAACTCAAATGTAATATCTTTTTGTATATCTTCTCTATCCATTTAAGCCCTTGCTTGACATTGTTAAAGCTCTAGCATTTCCTCTTGTTTATTCATGGCATCTGCCCTACCGGGAATTACTGTCTTGCAGTAACCCTAGGTACTGGAAAAGAGCCAATAAAATTGAGAATGTAGTGTATAATATTATCCTTTTAACTTTAAAGGTTAAGAATGAAAGGCTTTCAGTTTTGATTGTGTCTTAAAGATTTCTATGGCAGCAGGGGTGGTTTTTGTGTTACTAAATGATAACGTCTTCTAGAAAAAGGTTGACAAAGAGGGTTATTCATTTGTTATTGTTTTCTTTGATAAAAAGAAGTTTGAAGAGTTGCATTCTGCATTTTCCTCTGTTATTAATCTAAGTAGAGAAAATTATTTCCTGCAGCCAGATTTTAAATATTGCATGTTGAAACTGGACAAGGACTACTGACCTTAAAGCGTTCATGTTGTTTTGCTGTATTGTGGCCTTTAGAATTGATGTTGCACTATAAACAGTCAAATGCACAGTTTGCATGGAGCCATGACATAATATGTTTGCCAGTTTAATGAAGAGCGATGGTAACATAATGGCAAGTGAATTCTTAGATTAATGAGCTGCCATTTAAATTATTAGTGAGAGACAGGCAACTTAAACTAGACTGTGCACAGAACTGATAGCAAGAACCTGAGCTCTTTGTTCCTAGCCTGCCACTGACTTGCTCTCTGACAAGGGATGCGTTACAGCCTTTCTCTGACTGTTTTCAGTAGGAATCATTTGCCTTGTTCACAGAAGCATCATGAGAATCATTTAAATAATGCTTATATACATGTCCTAAAATCCAAAATACTCTGCTGAATGATTTCATTGCATTTTCTCTATATATTAATGATGATCTTATTCTTTTCAAGTTGAATTTACTGCATTTGCTGTTTTTGCTGCTTTTCTAAGTTCTAATTTATAATAAATAAGGTCTCACAAGCCTTATGCACATACCTTCGTGAAGGAAGACATTTCAATTAGAAGGATTCAGAGAGGTGCAATAGTAATGTAACCTTTGGGGCTGGGTGGTAGATTCTAATCTTTTGGGGATACAGCTGCAGGAGTATTTGGCAATATTATCTATATTTCTGTTGGTCAACAGAATTTTCTGTGATTTCTATTGTTATTTTAAAACAGTTTTCTCCCCCTCAGCAGGTAAAACAAGGGAAACAAGGGTTTTTTTTTTTCTCTCAGTTACATGAAAGCTCAGATAAGTAAGTTGATATTGCATATAACCAAACTCCAGCTTTCACAATTAAACCGTTTATTTTTGCCACCTCTACCATGATGACTAGGCCAATACAGCCATGGTAGAAATGGACATAAGTCTGATTGGGCCGGACTGATTTTGGAGTAGGGTACAATTCCACAGTAAAAGAATGATATGTGAGTGCATTAATCAAAATGCTATAAACAGATGTCTTAACATACTTTAAATTAAAGTTGAAAGAAAAAAAACCCTAAAAACTGCAAATCAAACCAAAAAGCAAGCCAACCATTTCAAGTACTGTGTCTCTCTTACGTATTTTATAGGCTTGAATGACTTAATATCTTTGCTGGACACTTCCACAGATATTCGGATTTTCCTGAACTGTATGTCTTCAAATCTTCAGGCTTTTGTAATTCAGGTATAAAATTAACTTCATTATTTCAGAAAAGAAAGAGTAATCACACTATTTATCATGTTACATGCTGACTTATGAATCGTTTGCAGGACTTGCATTGTATGCTAGCAACCTGACCAGACTGCAGATTTACATAAATACAATTTATGCATGCTGCGGAAAAAGGGGGAATTAATTGGCATACAAAAATTCCATCTGTGCAGACAACCACAGGCATATTTCTGTGCATATATCCACTCAGGCAATTTCAGTATCTGGTCTCACTTTATAGACACCCCTTACAACACTCTTAGAAACTAAGATTTATAAGAAGAAGGTTTGTAAAATGAAGAGAACACTTCATGATTCCTGAAATTGTTGGTTCATGAAGCTGTTAATTTGAACAGGTGGTAAGAGGGTGATAAATTCTAGTACAATGGCTCTAGCATTTATTTTTGAAAGATTCGGGCATGACCGTTCTTGCTTATACATCTTTACCTAGGTTATCAGCTCTGCCCCTGCCTCCCCCCGACATTCAGAACCAGCAGTAGCTTGATGGTTCCACTGCATTCTGATGGCTGAACAGACCAGTTAATTTTACTGCATGGGGCCAGGGGTGGTTAAAGTCTTTTCTTCCCTTTCTGAAAAAGCAGGGTAAACTGTACTTCTTTAACTTAATTATTTCCCAGTAATTCATCTGTGTGTGGGTTTTTTTTTTTTTAACTAACAATAGTACTTTGCAGTTTTGTGGTGCCCTCACCTTATAGAACCTTCAGCTGCCTAATGGGATGGCAGAGAGAAGAAGGAGTCAGGCTTTTCTTGGGGGTTCACGGTGATAGGGCATGAGGCGAGAGACACAAGTTGCAATAAAGGAAATACCTAATAGGTAAAAGGAAAAAAAAATACCATGAGGGCAGTTGAACATTGGAAGAGATTGGCCAGAAAGGTTGTGGAATCTCCATCCTTGAAGGTATTCCTTGACTGGAATAACTTGACTGGATAACGGTATGAGCAACCTGAATTAAGCTGGTCCTGCTTTGAGGAAGAGATCGGACAAGATGACCTCCAGAGGCCCCTTTGAACCTAAGCTATTCTAGGATGATAACCAAACCACTGTTTGTTCCACCTTTGTATGCAATTTGTATACAGAAATAATCTCTGCAATATAATAAGGAATTCTTTTAATTAGACTGATCATAAAGCAAAATTTTTCTCTTGCTTGCAGCCAAGCAAAAATAAAGAGGAGTTTAAAAAACTGGCAGCTAATTTCCAGCTGAGATGGAATTTCCTATTAACTGGAGTAAGCAAAGCTATGACACTCTGCCGTACAGTGAGTTTTGGTAAGATCTTTGTGACCTTCATCTGATACACCTTTCTGTGACCTGAGATGACAGAGCAACAGATCATTTTAACTGACATAAATTCAAGCTACAATCAGCAGGGGCATTACTTGTTCCTACTACCTTTCTTTCTTCAGGCGGTAACGTTTGTCTGATGATAAGGTTAGCCAGGTCAGGGCAATAAAATCATTAGTTTTAAACCGGATCAGTTCTCTAATCCAAACTCTAGGATGAGCATAAGGGGGGAAAGTAGGATCGTGCAGCTGGAGATGGTGGGAAGGGCAGGACTCCCTCTCTCGGCAGAAGCTGTCATTTGTCTGAAGGGAAGGGGGGAACAGTAGCCTGAGGGGTGAATGTCTGTTCAGCCATGTTACAAGAGCTGCAAACTGTAGCAGAAGGGTGTGATGGAGAGCTGGGCCAGTAATATCTCAAGCCATAAAAATTCCAGCTCTCTCAAGTGATAGCTCCTAGTCTTTCAGATTCTTTCTGTGTAACACAATATACCAGAGCCAGTGTAATAACTAGTTGCCAAAAATGCAGTCCCGCTGACAGCAGCTATACTCTCCTTCCTTTTCCTTGTATCTTATATGACACAAGTGTTTGACCAGCCAGCAGCAAGGGTGTGTTTAGGGTGTTAAACTGACCGAGAACTAGTCACTGCTTTAGTTGGACTAGATTTCTCTCTCTTTTAGTGCTCTGAGCTGTCGAGCATCAAATCAGTCACACAGCAGTGCAAGGCAAGAGAAGCAGTCAAGAGGACAGGACCCCAGCTACATTTGTTCAAATTGTCTGGAACTGGCAGAGCCATGTCTTGAATCCATTCTCTCTATGTGTCCTTTCCATTTCTATATTGCATCAAACATAAGTACCTTTCTCTTTACTTGCAAAACCTTTCACAGACTGTCTGTAATTCATTCGGGAGAAATCCTCCATGAACCCGTGATCAACACCTGATCTCAGACTGCATGAACCATTGCTTGTTTTTTCCCCCCAAAGAAGCACCTTTGCCTTTTTTTAGTGTTCTTTTGGGTAGAGCTTCACACAAATAGCCACAAAATACTTCATTATCTTCTTTGAAAACTCTCCCATGTTTCCTACAAAGACATAACAAAGGGATGTGCTAAGCTTCCTGCCTTTTGTGTTCTCCACTCTTCCCAGTTACTTTCTCTGTGTGTCTGTGTGTATGAGTGTGTGCATGTGCACGAATGCACGCCTACTTCTCTGTCTGCATCTAGCTGTTACCTGCTGCCTTAAATTGGAATTGCAAACTCTTTGGAGCAGGATTAGAATTTTGTTCTGTGTCTGCCCTGGCACACAGCACAGTGGAGTCCCTGTCGATTACAGTAATAATAAAGTAATCATTCCTATCTAACTCTGAAGATCTTGAGTTCTCTAAAAAATTCTCCAGTGGTAGATGCAGTATTTTGGGCAATGAGGAAATTGTGAATGAATTCCAAGAACAGCAGTGGAAGCATAACATTTATTGAAATTCTCCATGATGACAGAATCCTCTTCCCCTCTTGCCACCACAAGTGAAGTTTAATTAATTGCTTCCCTGTTCTGCAGTTGTCAGCGGTTGGGGACACGGTTAAAGCGATTTGATGTATAGCATCCTTTCCTCTGCTTAGCCTTCCTTTAACTGGTTACAAATGATGTTTTCATCCTACTTATGATAGTCTTCCTATTATACTTCATTAACACTAAGATTGAATTTATTCTCACATGTGAAAGAGTTAAAGAATCTCTTCTGTTCTTGCTCCCTGGTGCTCCAATTAATTTGGCCATTATTCTCTTCTTTCTTAATACCCTTGGTTCTTTAAGATGTCAGGTCATATAATCTAATAACACCCCCTTCTTTCCTATGAGAGCAAGTTCTGTAGGATTTTGAGTTTTAGCGGACAGAGCTGAAGTAGTTATGTTAGCAAGCCATCTGGTATAAATGTTCTGTAGTCAGGGTCACTGCTTTTCAGAAAATCCTTAAATCTCAGCATTTCTTGCAGGAATTGTGGGCATCCTGCAAGTTGAAATAAGCAGCATCCACACTGAGGAGATATAATTACTGTGGCAAAACATGGAATTTTCTGTAAATGTGTGAGTGTCCTGTTAGTGTAGTGTGCCTTCGCCCCAAAACAGACGGCACAACAGTAACCAAAACCAGACTCAGGTTCTGTCTGGAGGCTCTTGCCTGAAGCTTGGTACTTTTGGCAGATGTAATATACTGGCATACTCACACCTCTGAATTCAGGATCCACTTTTACTTTCTTCCAGCCCAGTCTCCATGTGGATGGTAAGGTAGCAGGGTGCTACAGTATTCAGTGCTAATGGGATTGCTACAGCCCTTTCAGCCCCCCCCTCCTCTCCAGGAAGTGTGTTCCTGTCGATCTCCATCACAGAACGTTCTGTCAGCTGATACACCTCCATTTTCTTTATCAGTCTAGCTGCTGTGACATTCAAGGATGTATTGGCGGAGCCGTGCTGGCTAGATGGTGACCTTGGTATGCATGTACACCTGTTTCAGAAATTCATACTTACAAAACGATTTGATGGGGTCCTGGTCCTTAACATAGCTCTGTTTTGTTTCTGGTTCGAGTGCCAAAGTAGAAGGGAAGAAGAGTCCTCGTAACTGTCTTTAATGATTAACCCTATGCGAGGGTACCTCCTCCTTTCAAGTAGGAGACACTTGCAGATTTATATTCAAATAGCTCCAGATCCATGAAGATGACCTCGGTTTCCTGACCACTGACTTCCACAGGATTTCTTTTGATTCTTTGGACAGCACAGATGATTCACCAGGTGCCATTGATTCCTGTACAAAAAGGTCCCAGGCCAGTTTTCAGCATGCACTACCTTACACATACTCTCAAAAAATGACTTTTTGTGAGGCTATTTATGATTAGCAGTTTATGCATTCTTCTTTTGTAAGCAAGCTGCTTCAATTTAATGTCAGTTCAAAACTGGATCCCTCCATGTTATCCCAAGGAACAATTGGAATGGTAGCTTTTGTTTCACACTTACTCTTTTTGAAGATACTGAAAACACCTGTGCTGTAAGACTGTTAGAAACGCTTATGGACCACTAACATCGGGTTGTATAGTTTGAACTCTGAGTATCATAATCACATAGATAAACAGGCCATTTCACTTACTTTATTACAATTTAAGGATGTGCAAAAGTACAAAAAACAGAAGCAGCAGCTTCTCAGACATCTATAACATCCGAAGAGGCAATACTTTTCATTTTTAAAGCTCTTGGAGACCTTGGTCGTGCATAGAAATTGTGTCTTGCTGATGCCCCTGTATACATGTTTGTTGGTGTGGAGATTATGAATTGTTTGGTGAGTTCCCGTGTAGATTCATGACGTGGAAGAAGACACGCTCTGTAAGGGGCTTGCAGCCAAAGGTATGTTTCAAAGTTCAGTGGCCTCAGGGAGTTTTTCTCTTGGTTTTAGCAGCTGTGCCCCAAGCTGCATGGTAGGCCATTGTAAATGCACAATACACTGAAGTTTGTAGGACGGTTTGCTTGGGAGGAGGTGGAATGATTTATCTGTGTGAGAGGGGAATAGGGATGATGTGTGGTTGTTAACCCTCATAGGAGCAGTGAATTTTGGGAAATAACTTGAATAGGAAAGTGAATAAGCACAAGTACACTTTTATCTCTAGCTAAAATAAGGGGAAAAGGCTTTTGCTTATGTTTAAAATCTGCAGTTGGTGCCTATTTTGCTGATATTTGGAAGCACATAATTTTGTAAGTACTACTTGGTGAGTGCTAGGCTGCTGCTTTGTCTAGCCTGATACCTTAATGAAGTCCTTCAAAAAGGAATACATCCTGAAGATATGCAAATGAAGAGGTTGTTATAATTACTTTTGTTTTTCTTTAAACCTAGGATCCTGGCATTTGTTTAATTTGCTACTCTTGGAATACGTTGCTCACATTTTCCAGTCCCACCTAGAGGAAGAGGGAGATGAAAATTTCTGTGTCATAGAGCAAAATGATTCAACTGTTCTGTTGGTTCATGAGCCCAACCATCCTTTGGACAATTTTGCAGAGCAGCAATCTCAAACCAAAGCCCCACAGCCAACTCCCATAACTTTGATGCAGAGCCAGAGCGATGTCAGTTTAAGCAACATTTTTTTCAGAGTTCTGAGTTGTTTGGAGGACGCAGACACAGGCAGTAAGGTGAAACAAAACATTAGCTTTACAGAAAATTACAATGAATGCTAGGTTATAATTGGGGAAAACAGGGAGAGGTATGGGGTTTGTTTTGGGTTTGCTATGTGTGTGAAGCAGAAAATGAAGTCTAGTTTTGCATGGAGCTGCATCCAAGGTCACCTAACCCCCAAGCCACAAAACATCTTCCTCATTGCCCTTCCACCTCATGATTCTTTTATGGAGTTATATTTTCCTCCTCACCTACATTTGCCTCACCACAGTTCCCTAGTTCTTGCACAAGTCCTTAGGTTTCCAGAGTACCGTCAGCTCTCCTTTAGTGCTGTGTAAGCCAGACTAGCACTGTTCTGGTGCGTTCCATGCTGTTCATGGGCTGACCTGACAGGATGCATGTATGGATCAGAAGAGAGAGCGCATTGTATCATCTTTTCCCAATATTAGAAGCACTGATAGACTTTCCTTCCTCCATCTAGCTATTAATTTCATCAAAACATATAGAAATATAAAATCCTTGAGAAAAGGAAAAAAAAGTTTTTTTTTTTTGCAGTCAGTCCACTCATTTAAAATTATTAGTAGAAGGAATGACAGTCAGGCAGAAAACATAATGTCTAACTCTCCTTAGGAAACGAGACTAAATGTAAGGACATGTGGGAACATGGATCAAGCCTCTGTGGTTAATATAAGTGATGCATTAGACTCAGCTGTTTTCAGATTTCTCTTCCTTGTAATAACACCACACATCTTTAGTCGCACAGAACATTGTGTTTTCCAGAAAGCAGAGCTGGACAAATGTTAACGGCACCGAGATTCATGAAGAAAATTATATTTTAGGGTGATCCTGCTCTAGTTCTTAGTTTTGGTAAACTAGGATGAGGATTAAAAGGAACTATTGTAAAAAATGTCTTTATTAACTAAGACCATTGAAGGGATCATATTTTTAAATACAAAGTAAGCTAAAATTAGATCAATAAAGAAAACTAGGGGAGAAAGAAAGCACAAAGGGGACAAAACACAAGAATGGTTTATAGGTATATCATGGGCATGTTTGACAGTGATTGTTATTTTTTAAAGTGTAATAAAATGGCCTCATCCTGCCATACCACCTCGACTTCAAAAACCAAACTGAGCTGGATGCAGGCTATCATCAACGAATCTCTAAACCACTGATGGTCAGAAGCGGGGAGATTAAACAGTGGAGAGTTACTCTGTGCCTGCCCTACTTCTTATGCTCTTTCCGTCTACTGCTAATAATGGCCTTTTGGCATGGTGACCATTCTAATGCTCTTATGCAGGTGACAGCAGACAAAGATTTGCCCAGGCTTTTTGTTTGTGCAAGTGATGTGCTTATAAATAGATTTATCATTTTTGAATATTTTGTGCATGATCTCTGGTCTCAGGAACAGAGCAAGGCTGACTGAAGTGAGGGACAATGAGTGTCAAAGTAAGAGTGGATGGGTATAAAACATGAAACGGGGAGTAGAAAGACCTGAGAGAAGGTGTGGAAGAGGTAAGGAGAAAGTGAAGGACTGAGAGACCGTAGAAAGTGCTTAGAGAGGTGAAAGGTCCTGAGAGCTAATGAGCTTGAAAGTCCTGGATTCTAGCAGTCCATGTACAATCAGCAGCTGCTGGCACTGGTGAGATGAAAAAAAGCCTGTAAAGAGGCTGCTGGTGCAGCGGTTCAAGTGTTTGGAGTTCATGAAGGAGCTGAAAAACTTGAACCTGCAGCTGAGAAGGGTCTCAGGAGCGGTGATGGGGCAAGTGAACACTTCTGGCAACTTGTGTCCTTAGAAGAGGTGGTAACTCCCAGCTCAGCAGTTGCGGGTTCCTTCCCTTTGGGTGTCAATACTAATTCTGGAGGTTGCCGAAAAATGCAGCTGCCAAAAGCATCTCCATCACCCACCACTTTGCTCATATTGCTGTCTCTGTAGATCCCTTGAATGGATTCCCATTGCACGAGGATTTAGGTTCTGCGCCTTTTGGTCGCCTTCTCATGCTCCCAAGCAACCATCTGTCTCTGTTTCTGATGAATCATCTCCATAAACCCCAGCCATAAACCATTCTGAAGGGTATGTAAACCCTCAGCAGCCTCAGGGGCATCCACCAGCCATGCTGCTTTCTCCTGGACTCTATTTCTGCTACCCAACATGTTGGTCTATCTATCCAGGGTACATTTTGTAATTTTTCCTTTAAATTCTTTACCTCATGCAGCCTCTGCAGTTCTCTTTGGCCAAGTGTCTTTTTCTTCAACTCCCATCCTCCACTTCATCATCTGCCAACAACACCAACCTCCATATCTTTTTCATCTTGTCCCACAAAGCATTTCTATGCCTTCTATACAGCCTGTTACGCTTGGAAAAATCTGTTCATTGCACCTCCACCCTCATCTCATTGAAATTAGTGCTAAAAACTCAGTTCTGCTATGAAGCCCTGGAAAAATGAGAGGGAGGACTGGTAACAGAAATCAGAAAAGAATCTCCGAACCCTGCCCCTGCATCAGCACTCTCAGTATGTGTCTGTGTCTTAACAGATCACTCCCTGATCTTTCAGTTGTCACCTTCATCCTTCCAGTTTTCCTTCCCCATCTGTTTTTGGTCTTCCATTCGTAGTTCATGCTGAATATAAAATTACACTTCTCGGCAGAGAGACCATGCTTTTCCATTTATTTTGAACAGCCAAGCACATCTTTGAATCTTTTTTTTTTTTTAATTTGAAGCATGAAAATTATTGTTAATAATCTTGAAAACGGAATAAATACTAAGTTGCTGAGATCTCCCAAGGAAAACATTATTTTAATATGAAAAGCTGTAGAGGAGGGGGGAATGGGACAATGCAAGATTTTTTAAAAAGTAAACTTAATGGGCAATGTGGCATATTAAATACTATGTAGCTAAATGGAAGTAGTATCAACTAGAACTGTTGAAACAAACGGCACAAGCGAAGAAGGTCTGAGTGAGCTGTAATCTATAAATAAAGTGCAGCTCAGAGAGCATTGGCCTGATCTTTCTGGCTTATCACAGAGCTTGCAGTTGCTTTCTCTCAGCATTAATAGCATTTTTTTCATCTAGGAAATCCCCTTCTGTGCTTCCTCCCTTTGTTCACCTGTTACCAAATTAAAATCCTGTTAAACTGCACACCTGCAGTGGGTTTATCTGCAGAGCGCTGTGCTATAGCTTTTAATCCAATTCCATGCTCACACGACATACAATATACTGCAAATCAGAGCAAAGAGGGAGCAAGGTAACACTGTTCATATGAAGCTCAGCTGGCAGATAGCAAATCAAACACTTTGATTTAGTACAACGGGAGGGAAAAAAGGAAATAGTTAACTGCTTCACATAAATAAATGATGAGTGTTCATCTGAGTGGTGTATGTAAACCAGGATACAGAGATGAAGTAAAAACAGTAACTGAAATGTTCAAAAATTAGAGTATAATCTTGAACCTACTTAAAAGTCAGTGGCAGAACTTCCCCTGACTTTAAGAAAGCCAGGATTTCAGCGTTAAAAAGCGGTCCCCATGAGGAAGAGAGACAGGAGTGAGATTATTTGTTTTGAAAAAGTGAAGAATAGAAGGAGTTATAGCAGACATATAAAATATGAATGATGTATTAAAAGACAGTTATGTGTTCCTGTCAGACCTTTGCTGCCCCACGAGGAAACCCAGTGTGTATGTCTGCTTGTTGGGTTAATTGATGTAAAATTAGGTTGGGTATCTGCAAAATACTTGGTGTTTAGCAGGAAAGAATGGAGAAGAGTTTTTTATTCAGTAAAGGGAGAAATAGTAATATGTGACTCTACGGTCAAAACATTTACACGTTTCTGTTCTAATTTTCAGCTCATCCAGGTCATGTTGGAAGACAGAATTACTAAAACTTCTGTTAAATTGGATCTTCCAATTGGAAAGGAAGCACTTATTACTCTAAAAGATGGACAGAAATTCATTATTTGTGCCTCTGATGCACAGCAAATCTCCATGGAAGACCAGTCTGACTTGTGAAAATTATTTATGAGGATAGACCATACTTACTTTTTGATACTGTTTTAATTTTTTAATTTAATTTTTTTTTTTTGGTAAATACTAAATTCAAAACCAGGCTACTGATTATTCGGTTAGGTTTTTAAGTTTTTATGTGATTTAGCTAATTGACTTTGTTTGAATAAATCTTCAGAATACAAAGTGAAATACTTGTGTTTTATCTGTCTTCTTTATTTCTGTCATCAGTAAAGCTCAAGGCCTACCTGAAGTCATTGTGGTGAATTATCTGGAAGCTACTCAATAGATTAATGACCCTGTATCAAAGCTGCTCTGTGTCTACAGTACACAATTAAAAATTGCTATTTATTGCATACAGAATTTAGCACTAATCCCTACGTCCTGAAAAATTCCTGAGTTGCTTCCCATTGTTGCAGGATACAAGAGAGCTGATATCTCAGATGTATTTCTATTAACTGAAATAAAATAGGTTGTATATAATGTTATTGATTTGTTCATAATATGTCAGAAACTTAAGCAGTTCAAATTTGCTCTATAAGCATAGTACGAGCAAAGAATCTATAGAGAGAAATAATGGAATAAATTTATATGTAATATTAAATAAAGGGAACAAAATTTGTATCATATGCACATCAGTTTGCATTAGGAAATTGACTAATTGTCCTGTGAGAAGCACAAGGCAATTGGCTTTTTAAAATATGTTTGAAGAGTATGCCTGTGGGAAGTTGACTCTAATATCAAGGGCCTGCTTCATTATTTTAGGACAGGATGTTTCCTGAACTAGAGAAAAGCCCTTGTTGGGGAGTTTATCTAGCTTTTATTTATTCTGGTTTTGGAAATCTACATTTATTTTCCACTTCTAGCTACATTCTTCTTTCTCAGTCCAAGCACTGAAAGAATCGATATTCCAAAGTACCACAACACAAGAAGTCAGGACCATATTCTAAAGAAAAAGGTAGAAGTGTTTTCAGTTATGCTGATAAGCTTAAGAGTTTGGCAGGGGAATTACTTTCTTTGGGGGAAGTATCTTCAGAGTCTGAAAAATGAATTTGGGTTTTATGGCCTGTTACACCTGTTTACACCATTCCTTCAAGTTACTATGGTGAAAACAAAATACCAAACAGTGGGTCTGGGAAAACAGAAGCTAAAAAAACTCAGTATTTCTGTTAATTTTTATTTATAAAAGTTTCTATTCTAGATTAAATGTGCAGATTAAATGTTCTTGTGAGACGAGCAGATAGGAGAACAGCAGACCAACCTTATGGTCTGTTCTTCACCCTGCAAAAAGTCTATGTACAGTCTAGTAAAGGTATCTGCGAACCTTATGAAAGGAAGAGTCTCCTGTGAGATTTATTCCTCCCTGCCTAATATTGAACCAGTGCTCCTTAAATAATTTACATGAATACAATGAAAGTTTAAGAGTATGCATTTTAAAGAACTGTAAGTTTGCACTGAAGGGGTCTACTGCCAAGAGCAGAAAAGGAGCCAGGATAAAAAAAAAAATACTTTTATTTAATAGGGCCATTTATTTCAAGTCAAATATGCATTTACATCTTTGCCTACCTAGTTAAGCCCTTACCTAGTGGCCACACGCTTCAATAGCGGCTCCATGTCCAAATGAAGCCCACGAGTACGGGATGGGGTCTGCCTCCCCTGTAACTTTGGGTCTTGCGGGTGCCTGGCCCTGGTCTCCCGAAGAGGCTTTCCCTGCAGGGAGAGCATTTCTGCGGGCACACTCTGTGGCGGATCCTCCGTTCCCT